ATTTGTTTGAGATAATGACCGGTAGTGTCTCATTTTCCCCCAAGAACACATATTTCAAGTGTTTTGGGAGTGGTTTCATCTCAATTTCGGGTGCCTGCAAAACTGAAGGTAAAGGCTTTTCTTCGGGGATGGTTAGCGGAAATGCCCTAGACCCCGGTGGCATAAATGGGAGTTGGAAGTGAGTATCCAATTCCACTATCATAGCTTGTGTGTTGGGGGTCAAGGCAAGTTCTTAAGAATTTTCCCCGAAGTCATTCTCAAGTATACTCAACAATTCGTCCTCTCCATTGATTTCAAAAGTATTTTGTACAAGAGGGTCAACAATATCAATGGCAAATAAAGAATGATTTTCATTTGGATATTTCATGGAGTCATAAATGTTGAATTCAACTTTGTCTCCATCAAATTCCATTGTTAAAGAGCCGCTAAATACGTCAATCTTTGCTCTAGCGGTTTTTAAAAATGGCCTTCCTAAGAGGATAGGAACCACATTCTTATCATTCTCCATTTCCAAAACATAAAAGTCGGCGGGGAAAATCAAATTGTCAACCATAACTAGTACGTCTTCGACAATACCTTTAGGGTAAGCATTTTATCTATCTGCAAGTTGAATGACTACTCCGGTTTCATTTAGAGGGCCAAGCTCAAGTGATTTGTATAAAGAGTAAGGAATGACATTAATTGATGCTCCTAAATCGAGCATGGCTTTTGAAAACGTAGTTCCTCCCAACTTGCAAGGTATAGTGAACATGCCCGGATCATTGTATTTCTTTGGGAGTTTCTTTTGAAAAACTGCCGAAACATGTTCACTAACTTGGACTTTTTGTTTTCCATTGAGTCTATGTTTCCTTTTTATTGTACATAGTTCTTTGAAAAATTTTGCAAATCTAGGTACACCCTTTATCATGTTAAGGAGAGGAATATTTACCTCACATTTGGAGAATGTCTCATAGAAGTCCTTGTCCTTCTCCAGCTTTCGCGTTTCCCTTAGAGCCTCAGGGAAGGGTGCTTCGATCTCGGGAATGACCGGTGGCGGGGTTGGGATTTGAACTTCCACCTCCAGTTGAGTTACTTCCACCAGCTCCTCTTCTTCCTCCTCTTCGCCAATGTGCCTCTTTGCCTTCTCCTCGGCAATAACCAACTCTTTGCCACTCCTTAATGTGACTGCATGGGCTTGTTGCCTCAGATTCGGCTCCATTTGAGATGGTAGCCTTGCCGAATCCTTAGCTTCAAGCCTACTCACGACATTTGAGATTTGACTGATTTGGCTTTCCAAGTTGTGGATGCTGGATTTTGTTGTTTCTTGAAATTGGACCACACTTTGTTGCATCGTTGCCATATTCATGGCAAGTGATCGAATCATGTCTTCGGTGGACATGTTCGAGTTTGAAGTTTGGCCTTGTTGTTTATATTGTGGAGGAGGAAGATTTGATGGTTGAGGAGGTTGAGAGTTTCTGTACCTTATATTAGGATGATCCCTCCATCCCGGATTATAGGTGTTGCTTTGAGGGTTATACCTCTTTTGATTTTGAAAACCCAAAGCATTGATTTGTTCAGAGTTCTCCTCTTGTAGTGTTGGGCAAGAGTCGGTGGGGTGCCCTTGTATCGAGCATATGCCGCAGACCTTGACTTCTTGAGTTTTTGGATTTAAGAGAAAATCTTTAACCAAAGAAGTCAAGCTGGCTACTTGACTTTCCAACGAGTTGTTGGATTCTGCCGCCATAACTCGTTTTGATGACCGCCGATCATAGTGCCTACAATTCTCGGCCAACTCCGAGATAAGGTTTATAGCTTGAGAAGGAGTCTTGTTGACAATCCTCCCTCCACATGCGGCGTTTATCATCCGCCTATCTTCATTGCAAAGACCATCATAGAAGTATAAGATGAGGTCTTGCTCCGAATAGCCATGATATGGACAGCTTGCACATAGTTTCTTGAATCGTTCCCTATATTCGTAGAACGATTCATCATCCTTTTGCTCCACGTTGCTAATTTGCTTTTTTAGAGAGGAGGAGACAGAGGCAGGGTAATACCTTTCCAGGAACGCTTTCTTCATGGCCGCCCATGTACCTATACTTCCTGAAGGAAGATAGAATAGTCAATCCTGTGCGGTATCCTTCAGAGAAAATGGAAACGCCCGCAGTTTGATCTGTTCTTCTGTCACACCATTTGGACACATGCGTGTGCAAACGACGTGGAACTCTGAGAGGTGTTTGTTCGGATCCTCTCCCCTCAGGCCATGGAAGGATGGCAGCAGATGAATGAGCCCAGATTTTAGCTCAAACGTATTACCCTCATCAAGTGTAGGGAAGGTAATACATAGTGGTTGTTGGTTCAAGTTTGGAGCTGTGAGCTCCCTCAGCGTTCTTGTTTCAAGAGCCATAGTGATTGGCTCTTCGGTGTCGCTAGAATGAGAACTAGCACTTGATGATTCCTTCGAAGAAGTATTCGGAAATAAATTCCTAAACCTCTCGAAGGCTTATTCTGTTTCGGGCTTTGTTTGGTAGGTGATTTGGTTTATAAATCGGTGTTTAACCATATACTCAAAGCTCAGAAATAGAGAAAGAAACACTCTTTATATATTTGTTTAATATTTTTTTTGATTTTTCTTGAAATGAAATAAAAGAAAAATTAATTGCCTTTCCCCGGCAACGGCGCCACATTTGACGTGCACTTTGTCGTGGGGTGCACTCAAAATAATTACAATACAACACTAATACGTAGTATAGTGAAGTAAGGTTCGTATCCTCAGGGAAAGAAATACTTTTCTTTTAGATAAATAGTAACAAGGGGGGGGGGGGGGGTCAGTTTGATTTAATTTAATTCAATTAACACTAAGATAAACAACTTATATGAGTTTAATTAATAGATGTGGAGGCTTGGTTTTGCTTGTATCCACTTAATGAAATGTTCGTCGATCCCGGTTATATCTTTAACTATCTTCCTCTCGAATACTCAATCGAGGAGTATATCCAGTTCATCGAGGGTAGTTATTAATACCGAGATGCGTTCATTAATAAAACTTACTATCGAGTCAATATAGAACAAGCGCCATATATTAACTTGATAGTAGCAATAATCTTAAGATGAAAACGATTGAGATTGATAACCTCAACACAAGCGGTTTATTGGTTTAATCAATATAATTAATTCCCCTTGGCATATTAACCATGAGATGCATGCATTAATATTCCAAGTTTACTACCATTGAAAGAACCAGATTAATAACAAGCGTATTAACCGATCGATTCTAGTAATAATTAATATGAGAAACAATACTAGTTGATACTTTAAGTAATGTTTAAAATATTAACATGAAATATGAATAGGAATTAATTAATACTCAAGGAAGAATATTAAAGAATATGAATCCTACTATGATTAATATCAAGATGTTAACTAATTGTCATCTTAGTAACACTCCCCAATATTAACATAGAGGAAGAAATAGCAATTACTATAACCAATGTCAAGATGTTAACTAATTGTCATCTTAGTAACACTCCCCAACTTTGATATAGAAATAGTATTTTAAAGGAAGAATTAATATTCAAGGAAGAAGATTAAAGAAAATAACTCACAACTTACAAATTCATTAAGCTTCAAAGTAGCAAAACCAAGATGGAAGAGTTTAGCTCCTCATTTGGAGACTAAACATGATGAAAAAAATAAAGAAAGAACTATTCTATACTGAGCTTAGATGTACAAAGGAAGTGGATATCTTTTTGTGAAGGAAAGGGGGTGGATTTATAGGCTTTTGGGATGGGATTTGGGTACTCGATCGGGTATATACATGGTACCCGATCGAGTATGTGTGTAATACCCGATTCGAGGTATACTCGATCGGTTTCAGGCTATTTTCCACAGGTATACCCGATCGGGTATATGTTTATACCCGGTCGAGTATGCTTAGAAAGTGGTATTCGGGCCATACTCGACCGATCTTCGTTTAAAACTCAAAGGCATACCTGATCGGGTATGTCGGTCTACCCGATCGGGTATAGACATCTAATCATGGCCGAAATCTTCCCGGCATGTTCCCTTGTCTTCGGATCTGATCCGATTTGAAGTTTCAACCTAATACCCGATTGAGTATATGTGATACTCGACCGAGTATAGACCAAAATTCAGGATCCTTCTTTTGTCTTCAAATTTTGCACCTTCTTTCCACTTTTTGGGTTCACCAACTGTACTTTGAGTGATCAAGACCTGTTTGAGCTCAGAATATACCTAATCTAAAATATTTACAAGAATTTAACAAACTAATCTATTACACCAAAAGTGTGTAATTTCCATAGTAAAGATCAAGTAAAACTAATTAAAAACACAAACATGCATATGGAAATTGCAAACGTATCATTCATTTTTTTGTTTAGAAGGATGAACATCTTTGGCATCACAAATCAATCCCTGCCTTTTAGTTTTTATTGGTTTTATGTCTTTTGATCCAAGTGGTCTGCCACGCTTTTTGCGTATAGAAGAATCATTTGCAAGAGATTTTTCAGAATACTCTGCTGGGATTTCGATTCTGGCAGGGGCATTCATAGCAGGAATATGTGACTTTGTCACTTTCTTTGTATCTGTGAATACATCAGGCAACTGATTTGCAACATTTTGTAAATGGATTATCTTTTGCACCTCTTGCTCACATATATTTGATCTTGAATCAAGATGTGATAGTCCTGTTGCATTCCATGTAATTTCTTTCGTACTTGGGTCTAATTTATTATTTTCTCCCCCTAAGGTTGGGAATACTGTCTCATTGAAATGACAGTCTGCAAACCGTGCTGTGAATAAGTCACCAGTCATCGGTTCGAGATATTTTATTATTGAGGGAGATTCAAATCCAACATAAATTCCCAACCTTCTTTGAGGACCCATTTTTGTACGATGAGGTGGAGCAATCGGAACATAAACAACACAACCAAATATTTTTATGTGTGCTAAGTTTGGCTCTTGTCCAGTAACTAATTGCATTGGGGAATATTCATGATATGCAGCCGGTCTAAGCCGAACTAAATTTGCTGCATGTAAACTAGCATGTCCCCAAGCCGATGAAGGTAAATTACACTTCATTAATAATGGTCTGGCGATTAATTGTAATCGTTTAATTAAAGATTCAGCAATACTATTTTGTGTATGGACATGAGCAACAGGATGTTCCACATCAATCCCAATCGACATACAATAGTCGTTAAATGATTGAGATGTAAATTCTCCTACATTGTCAAGTCGGATTCTCTTTATAGAATGATCCGGAAAATGAGCTCTTAATCGTATCATTTGAGCAAGGAGTTTAGCAAATGCTAGATTTGTAGTCGATAACAGACTGACATGTGACCAACGTGTTGAAGCATCAATCAACACCATAAAATATCGAAATGGTCCACATGGTGGGGCTATCGGCCCACAAATATCTCCTTGAATCCTTTCTAAAAATGCAGGTGATTCAGTTGCAATTTTGTTCATAGAGGGCCTGATGATCATTTTGCCAAGAGAATAGGCCTTACAAGGAAAATTCCTTGATATTGGAACCCTTATATTCTTTAATGGGTGTCCAAGTGAAGTCTTAATGATTTTATGTATCATTACATGGCCTGGGAGACCTAAACGGTCATGCCACAACATGAATGTTTTCTGATCATCTAACTTTGTGTTAGAAACTAAATTTATTTCAAATGGACTAATATATGTGAAATATAGTCCTGAGGAATATGCTGGCATTTTTTCACAAATATATTTAGTGCCAGATTTAGTTGTTGTAAGACAAATATATTCCTTTTGGTTTTCATTCATGGTTTCTATGTGATAACCATTTTGACGCATATCTTTAAAGCTTAATAAATTCCTCCGCGATTTGCTTGAGTAAAAAGCGTCATCTATAATTATTTTGGTCCCATTAGGGAGCATCACATATGATTTCCCAGAGCCTTCAATGAGCTTCGCAACACCTGATATGGTATTGACTTTAGCCTCAACTAAAGTCATTTGAGAGAAATATATTTTATTTCTCAAAATGGTCTGCGTTGTGGCGCTGTCTATCAGACATAGCTCTTTATCATTTGAGTGATCCATATCTTCAAAATGTGTAAATTAACATAAGCTTGATCACAAATTGTGCATATAATTTAACATAAAGTACATATCTTACACACATTTATTTAAAAACAAAAGAAAAAGGGAAGAAAGAAAAAATACATAAAACTAATATGTTACAACATAAGGATCGGAGTCTAATATTTTATTTTGTGACATTTTGGTTTATTGCAAAAGCATCATCCATAATGGCATCATCCGCGAAAAAATCGGACACGTCAAATTTTGACAGAGGTGGAGTCGTGTCGTTGACATAATTAGCTTCCATATATTTGCCGTTGTTCAAATTCATGGAAGTTTGAAATAATTCCACCAGATGCTTTGCAGTGCGGCATTTGTTAGCCCAATGCCCCGTCATGCCACATTTATAACAAGTCGTCTTTACCTAGGTTTTTGGAGGACGATTTATTTGATGAGCCTTTTGTTTGCCCTTGCTCTTATAATTTGGTCTATTGACTTGTTTATATTCTCGGTGTGACTTGTTTTTATGACCATTAAAATGCCCACGTTTAAAATGCCTTCTACTGCCACTGTATGTTGCATTTGATTCAGTGACTAAATTATGGCCAGATAGACCATAAACCGAAGGACTAGAACCAGTGGGTCTCAGATTATGATTTTTCATCAAAAGGTCATTATTTTGCTCAGCTACCAATAATACTGATATTAAGTCGGAGTATTTTTTAAAACCCTTTTCTCTATATTGTTGCTGTAGCAGCATATTAGAAATATGCATGGTAGAAAAGGTTTTTTTCAACATATCAGCATCAATGACTTTTTGTCCACATAACTTTAATTTGGATGTTATTTGGAACATAGCAGAATTATAGTCACTGATTGATTTAAAATCCTGGAATCTTAAATTGATCCAGTCGTACTGAGCTTTAGGCAAAAGTACCTTTTGTTGATGGCCATACCTCTCCCGTAAATTGTCCCATAATTCTTTTGGGTCATCAACCAAAAGATATTCAGATTTAAGACTTTCATGGAGATGGTGACGGAGAAAAATTATAGTTTTCGCTTTATCCTGGGAAGATGATTGATTAATAGTCTCAATAGTGTCTTCGAGACCATTGGCCTTCAAATGTGCTAAAGCGTCAACTTTCCATTCCAAATATTTTTGACCGGACAAATCAAGAACGTCGAATCCTCTTTTGCTTATGTTTGCCATGATTTACTACATAATTATTGAGTTAACTTTAATTAGTAAATTATACTCATGTGGGTATGTGCATATTATGTACTAATAGCATTATATAAATGATATAAACATATCACTATTAATCTACCGTAATAATAAAAAAAAAATATATCACATACTCGTATTATTTTTTTCAGAAAGAGGCAAAAGAGATAAATCCACGAGTGATGTGTGTCCATATATCTTGCTTATATCTATTCCTAACTTGTACTTGGTGTTTAAGTGTATTCAAGTTTATATAATTAGATAATATACACACTATGAAGCTAGGGAGACAGTGTGGACTATGAAGGAGTTCGAATGATCTTACTTTATCTCTTACCTTTATTATTATTATTGTTATTATTATTATTATTATTATTATTATTATTATTATTTATGGTGTATACGTGCCTTACAACTATAAAAGTTTATTTGTTTATTTAAACTAATGAGTGATGCCCATTTTGTTAGTGCCACGTGGCTGTCTACCACTTATTAGAAAACTGGTTTTTACTGCTCTCAAGAAATGAATCAGAAAATTTTGTCTGTGTTTATTATGCAGACCCGTGATGAAAAAATTGCAGTTTTTTTTTTTGTTTTGATACTTCAGCACTGTTTGTTTTTCAAAAATCAAAGTTACTCCGTGAATATTTTATACGGTGTATGACTGTATATGATATCTACTATATATTTGAACTAATTCATTCCTTGTCTACTCCGACCCATTTTGGCCTAGTATTGTATCTCTTTACTTTCTACTACCGATTCCCGGTTCTTCTTTTAAATATTTGTCATGCTCTCTTCTCTTATTACATACGGAGAATAATATATTTTTCCACATGTTCTCTTCTTCTATCAAATTAAGAGAGTACGTATATGAAGCTCAACTAAAGAAACTACTGATTCACAAAGGTATGTATGGTATCTATATACTCCCTCCGATTCCTAAACAAGTTCCACATTTGACTTCACACATATTAAGAAAATAAAATTGACTTTACTGTGGAGTGCACTGTTTGGCACTGTTTGAACACTGTTTGGCACTGTTTGACACTGTTTTGATGTAGATAATAAGGAAATGTTTGAAAGTGGAACATAATTTTGAATCTGCCCGAAAAGGAAAGGTGGAACTTGTTTCAGAAACGGAGGGAGTATATTTTACAGTTGTGGGTCTCTCTATCTCTCTGTCTGACAGAATGCAATGAATGCCACTTAGAATGTTCATATCGGTATATTTTACGTAAGGCTGCCCTCTATATATAAGTAAGAGAGCTTAGCCTACGTATTACATAGCAGTAAATGGGCCTAAATAGAAGAGTAGCCCATATAAAATAACTTTTGTAATTACAATAGAAATACAAGGATAAATAACATGATCAATCGTATTCGACCAGCATTGCAACACGAATATCTTTGTCTTTATGTTGAATCTGCAATGTAGAGGATAGAGCATATGAGATTGATCGAGTTGAATCTTTGTCTTTTGTGTAGAACAACTTCCTTTTTTTTATTGGAAATTAAAGGCTTTTGAAGAAATCTTGCATATAGTTTTTGTCTTTCAGAAGTTGCTTTTGATCAGTTTGAATGAAATTTGATGGTGCACAAGGGATCCATCTTCAGTATTTGATTGGTCATTATTCATTTTTTATTAGGATGCCTTTATTCACCAATAATCCCTACTACATATACATTTTCCGATTTTGGTAAGACTGAACACATTTTCAGCAAATCCAGACATACTAGACCAGAAAATTCAATCCGATTAAGAACATGCTAAACTTACAACTCTAAATCCAAATTGTGCTAATCCTTTAGTTGGATTCCCGAAAAATACTGATAGCCAAATTTTGTTGGAGGAACTGGTCGAATAAACCTTCAAAAAAGCGTTAGAAAATAATAATATAGCTCGAGTCGCGTAAACTCTGTCCTCAAGAAAGTATTTCCGACGTGCAAAAATCTTTCCTCAAGATAAAACGAATTCCTCGATGGATATCGATCGATAACAGAATAACGAGAGTAGAAAATTATTAATCCAGCACAGTGAAAGTATTAGGGAATGTTTTAGCTCAAAAAGAATCTTTTTTTTTCTAATACTTAAAACTCCAGCAAAATAAAGTTAGAAACATACGTTGCGAGCAGATGGGCCGTAGTATTTAAGACTTACGTTTGTATTAGTAAATAACATGAACGTAACGTTACTCCCACGTTCATGATCATAATAAACTTTAAAGCTCAATTCGAACAAATTAATAAACGTTGTATACATAAAACAACGATTCAATGAATTTTAATAACACTAACGTCGACCGTTTAAACACTTCCAATATTAATTGGATTGAGTAGATGCTTTAACGGTACTATTTGGAAATACTCAATGAACATAAAATAATATTTATATTTTAATAGAATATATAAAAATATCTAATTTATTAATAAAATAATATTATTAGATAATTTATTCATTTGAAATATTCCCAATTATTCCAACAATTTTCACTTTTTATTTATCTATATATCCAGATATGTTTCAACATAGGTTTCTATAGTTTCATCATAAAAGTTGAACAATATAATTTTTAATCTTAAATTTTGTTTCTAAACATTTAGGCTTTGAAAATATTTGATTGCATCTTTATATTTGTGTGTTTATGCACATTTGCAGGCTTCCATTTAGTTAAAAAGAATACAAGCTAACCATTTCTTTTGCGTGGTGACATCTGAATCTTTCTATCTATACTGTTTGGCGGTTTTGTTGGAAATTTATCCGAAAATTATAGCTCATAATGTTCAACACGATTCTTAATAAATAATATTTTATTTTTATTCGATGTCAAAAATTCTATATTAAATAATGGGGACCCTAAATAATGTTTTAAATAAAACTATTTTGCAATTATTAACATTTTGCCTATTGGTGACGAGGTATGCATAGTGCTTGTAAGGAATTTAAAATGAGCATTTTGAACCCATGATGATTGTGATCACGTA